TTGGACATCATAGTTCCTTCAGATTTTGTTCTCTGCGTATGCGGTGAACCTTTTACTCATCCTATCCTACTATTACCCGCACCACCACCCATTTACCACATCCCCCACGCCATCTATGTCCTCAATTTCCCTTTGAAAAGTATGCCCGTCTACCCCTCCTTCCTAAAGCTTCCTGCTCATAGCCACCCTCCAGTACATGTGCTATTTGGTGGTAATTGGCAGGGTGGGGGGCGAGTAATCTATTCCAGATTTATTGTAAAAAGTAAGGTGTAGGGGGGTCCAGATCTCAAACCTCTATCCACCCAGTCTATTTTTCCTGTGGATAATTCCTCTCTTTCTTCCCCCACCCACCTATAGGCACACTCATACCGGGTTCCTCTCGAACGCCCTGCTCGGCAGCCCGAGAACCAGGTTTCGCAGAAACGGATGTAAATTTCGGGTGAACATTGTGGGACCCTGTCTGTCGCTGTCCGGGACGGCCGAAATACAAACCATCCGTCCGTTAAAGTGAGTAGCGCAGGATGGCAGGCGGGGCTTTGGTGGGCACGGAGTCCGGGGACCACACGCTTCATTTAGGACAGTGAGGCATCTGGTCCTGCGAGACCTGTGATATAGAGTGGTAGCTCGGCTTTGCCCAGTGGAGGATCGGATACTTTCAGCACTGGGATGGGAAGCGGGGGGGCCACAATCCTTTGATAAAATTTTCGCCCCAGATAGGATTACCGGCAATCTCTTGAAGCCCCAAAAGAGACAAAATCTAAAGAAGCTAATCCTGAGATCAGCCATAAGAAGGGAAATAATGGAGCCGTGGCTGGCCCCATAGCAGTCACCGAAGCCTTCCTCTTGGTAGATTCCAAGTAGGCCTGGTAGGGGAAGAGGGACTTTTTCGGGTACGGCAAGAGACCCCCAGGGCTATCCCCGGATCTGGCACGGTAATAGGAACGGTCTAACGCTCTGGCCAATAGGTAGCTGTGGCGGACGCAGGCTGTAGAAGCCGGGGGAGAAAAAGAGAGGAGAATAGCCTAGATTTCTATAGTGAGTTCGTAATACCTTCAAGTTGAGGCGGCCGTGACACGCAAAAGATGGGAACCAGGGCGGAGGCAGAACAGATGTCGGACATGACTGCGACGCAGGGTGAAAGTAGAAGCAAATAACGGGATTGACCGGTAGCGCGATTAATAACCTAAATAGACGGAAGTAAATACAGGACCCCCTGGCAACATGGGACCAAGCGTATAGAGATTTGGCGGCGGGGACGGGGCGGGCGGAATACGGCTGCCAAGCAAGGTCTACCTACTGTGACTTTTTGGAGAAGCCGGGAAAGCCGAGTGGGGATATCGGGTGACGAGTGGCGCAATGCGATAGATCAGGTCCGGGTATCTTATGGCGGAAAGCTAGACGCGCTAGTGTCGACGGGAAACTCGATCGCATATGAACCGAAGAGACTGTGGGCCAACCGGGATCTAAAAAGAGGAAGGCTGTATAAGACAGGGAAGGCTAGACTGGAAAACAGTGCTAACCCCCCACGCTAGGCTGGCGCGTACTGTATAGCAGAGAACGCGGGATTAGAAACAGGCATCGCGTTCGTGTGAGCGGAAATGGAAAGCAGGTTCGAGTAGGTTAGCGATTATCACCGCCTCCTAAGGTGCGGTCAGTGCCGAAGTTTCCCAAGGTTTTTTTCCTCCTCCTGAAGGCAATTTCTCCTGCCACGGATTTTACCACTGTCGGTTAGAGAGCTAGCCTGGACACCTATCGGCTTCCGGGGGGGAGAAAGGGTTCGGGAAGGTGGAGGGCTGTCTGAGCGACGACGTTGGGGAATATGGGAATCGCCACGACACCGATACTGTAGAAAATCCAGGGTCTGGGTAAGCGAGGGCACGGAACAGGGCAACGCTGTCGTTGAAAATAGCGCTAGTTCTGAACCCTTCTTCCGTTGTTGCGGCCTTGGTGTAGGGAATGTGGGTTCGAAGGTTGGGGAAAGTTTCCCAGTGGATTGCGATGGAGTCCTGGTGGAAGTCACGTGGCGAGGGCTCTGTCAATCGCGGCTCTGCAACAACGGCTCCGGCCTCCAAGAGTATGAGGCTCAAAAACTGCCCAAGTTTCATTGGTTGCCTAATAACCGTGCCAAGGTTAGCGGGTTCGCATCCCTGCCGCTAGACCGCCAACCCCCAACTGTGCGGTCGGTGATTCTGGAGCTGGAAGCACAATTACTGTACTCGTAGTGTTGTATTTCCCGGTACGTCGGGTACAGCACGAGCACAACGAAACGGAGACCCGGGTATCATAGCTACTGGTATCCCTTTCTTGCAGGTTGTCGGTGCTGGGGTTTGTCAAGTGATTTTTTCCCCTGTTAACCAGCCTGAACTCCCTACTATTTGGAGTAAATTTTTTTTTTGAATAAGTCGAAGGATTGAGAGCAATTCCCCAGAAATTTGGTCCACATTGTCGCTGCGTGCGTTGTTTGTCATTCTGAAACCAGGTAGGGTAATGAGCGCAAAGTAACTAGCAACGCTCTCATGATTTGGATCTTCGCCCTTCTGGCGATATCGGCGCCTTGGAAATTTAATAGGGAAAATGGATGGGAGGATAGAAGGAAAGTTCACTGGGGCCCGCAATCAAGTGTGGGAGCGGCGCGCAGAAGCTGAATAGCGGTAATACACATACAGTACCGGTACTATCCGTGATTGGGGCTCCCACACCTAGAAAGAAGGTTACGCGAGCGGGGAAGAAGGCGGCATTCCCCGGGGGTCCCTAATAGGGAACGAAAGCCCGCGCCAACAGCCAAAACCCCTGCGTGAGGGTCCCAGGAGCCGCACAAGATTCATTGGTCGCTTAATCGCCGGTTACCCCACTACAGCACCATATTGAAGGAACAGGTTTCAAGACCGGTCCTTCGACAACACCGGTGTGGAAGTGTATCGGTCTACTTCCAGTATTGGATGGTAGGCTTGACTGAGGTGCGTCCGGTGGTGAAAGCTTTGTTTGTGACCTAGGGATATCCCATACCGGTAGGATACCGGCACCTGTACTGTACAGCCAGATGATTGTGTGGAGATGCTAAGCATGTAACACACCTGTGAGGTAAAAGAAAAGAAGAAGAGCTGAGTCCAGTCGAGATGGAAAGGCAATGTGGTCTACCGCAGACTACCGGTGATTTCCTGCTTCTATGTGGCCCTCGTCGCCCCCCTATGGTGAGTGTCGGATGTGGGTGTGTCGCTCCTACTCTCTACAGAAAAGGAAGGAAAATAGTCCCCTGTGTACTCGTACGGCACACAGAAAAATATGCGCCAGGACACCCACTAAATGCCACTTAAACAGCAACCTACGGCAGTAAACCCACGCCCCATGGGTAGAGGCGTCCAGGTCTAGGGCTACAAATGGAGTGTGTAAGTTTTCTCATCACCTTTTCAAGACCGCGGCTGAATACCTCGCGTGTTGCATCGCCGGTGAGTGAACTGGTCAGGAGCCTGCCATACCGGTATGGCAGTTCTAGTACCGATAGAGGTGTTAGTTCCGATACCAGCCGACTTTGCAAAAAAAGGCAGGGGTTGTTTACACCTTCCATCAATTTTTATGCGCGAGTGCTGTACTAGTACGGCACTTGAGGACTCGAGTAATCCTTGTCTTGCGGTTGCACCAATTACGACTGGGCATGCAGTTGCAGTTACATTACTGTGTGTAGGAGCTGCAAGTAGCATTCTGGAGCCCCTCTCTGGGAAATCTTAAAAAAGGAGAGAATTATCCGAAAAGTATACCCTGCTGCCTCCCACCTCACCCCCGAATCCGCAGTCCAAAATTATAATTCAAAAGCACCCGAAGCTCCAAGGACCTCCCACCTTAAAACTGAACACCGGTTTTTGCCTATCGCTCGCTACTAAAAGATAGCGATCTTTTAGCCATACCTTTAAGCTTCCCCTCTTAGACCCACAACATCCATCAAGAAAAGAAATGGCAGAGCCCTTCTCTCTGGCTGCCACTAGCGTTGCCCTCATTCACCTCGGCGTGAAGGTTTACAAACTTTGCGATGACTACTGCAATGTAGTCAAGGAGTGCCAGCAAGATTTCAAGAAACTGGGGGGCGAGATTAGGAGCATTGACCAACAGCTTAAGGAAATACAAATCCTGGCTGTGCAGGGCGATGAGAACAACCCGCAATACCCTAAGCTTCTTGAATGGACAAAAAATCAAAGTTTGAGAGATTATAAGACAGCCCTCGAGGAGCTGGAGAAAAAGCTAGATGTTCCGGAATGGAGGAAATCCTCGAGGAAGTTCCTTTGGCCTTTTAGTAAACCCAAAATGGAGCGCTACCTGAGCTTGGTCGAGGAGCAGAGATCGAAGCTTCAACTATTGTTGGCTACAGCTACAGCGTATGTTATCCATTCTTCAGTCCCCTGCGAATCTAGCTTCTCCACTTCCTTTTTTCATTTCGGGTGTCAAGACTAACTAGATGTTCAGGAAGACAGTAACAAAGATGTCGCGAAAGCTAGATGGTACTGTGCTTGGTTATAGTATTCCCAACCCTGCTGGTAAATTTCCTTACTAATGTTAGATGTTTCTAAACCACCAGAGAAAGAATTCCGAGAAGCACTGAAATGGCTTAACGTTGTCGATCCTGAGGTCAATTATTCATCTGCACTTGCCGTTCGCGAGCCTGGCACTGGGAATTGGCTGCTAAAGGGACATGAGTACATAGATTGGAAGGAAGCCCGAGGGGGGGTTCTCTGGCTTTATGGAATACGTAAGTGTACAAACGCATGAAATTTTCTGCTCCCACGAATGCCATTAACATTTGTGTCATATAGCCGGATGTGGCAAGAGTGTCCTGAGGTGCGAACTCAATCGGGTAACTAGAGTTGTAATATGATTTCCGGATTGCTAACACTGTTTTTAGCGCTACGGCTATTGAAGATGTCAAACATATGTGCAACACGAACGACGATCATGCATTAGCCTATTTCTACTTTACTTTCAGCGACTCGGAGAAGCAGAACTTGGTTAATATGCTTCTATCCATTGTCGGTCAACTACTACAGGAGATTTCGAATCGGAGCTTCCCCGACGAGGTTATAAATCTATATCACAATTCCAAGGCAATTGGAAGATCTCCGGATATCAAGGCTCTGAAATCGGCAATTTCGCAGATGATAAAACTTTCCAAAAAGACATTCATCATTCTCGACGCCTTGGATGAATTTCCCAAGGACACACGGGGGAGCCTCCTATCTTGGATCGACCAGCTTGTTGCAGATCATAATCCGGGATCGCTTTCCATTCTTGTCACTAGTCGCCCCGAGGCTGACATAGTGAGGGTCCTAGAACCACTTACGACTTTCACAATATCGCTACAATCCGATACTATCGATGCAGATATCCGGTCATATATACACAACTCCCTTGACTATAAGGATGGTTTCAAGAAGTTTACCAACGAGATCAAAAGCGAGATAGAGGACACACTCATCGCTCGTTCACAGGGAATGTATGTTGTACTCCACTTTTAAATTATGAACTTACGCTTATGCAAAGTCGGACGTGTTAAGGTTCCGATGGGTGGTCTGTCTCTTACGGATCCTGGAAGATTGCATTGCGCCAAAAGATGTGAGAGCTGCATTGAGGAAGCTCCCGAAAGACTTAGATTCTGTCTACCAGAGGATCCTGGAGAGTATTCCCGAGGCGCAGAGGGAATACGTTCAGCGAGCGATGCATTGGTTAACATTTTCGGCGGAACCATTGACATTGGGTCAGCTTGCGGAGGCTGTCCAGATTGAGTATGATGTCGATCAATATGGCGAGGATCCAGAACCTCTTTTCGAAATGGAATCCCTCATGAGCATCTGCCCAAGCCTTATTTCTTTCGAAGACTCTAGGGAGGATGGGTCGCAGCCCAGGGAGGGCCGCCAATTACGGCTAGCGCATTTCTCGGTAAAGGAATATTTGATCTCCGACCGGGCAGCTCAGGGCCCCAGTGCCTACTATCGTATTTCCGAGGATGAAGCCAATTTACTAATGGGGCATGCTTGCCTCAGTCGAATACTGCAACATAGTGCACATGGTACTATATGTGGAAACAAAGTCGAAAACACGTCGTTCCTCTACCACAGCGCTTCCTATTGGTTCGTGTATATTCGCTCGATTGAGGATATAGCACCCGCTCCACTCTCTGATGGTACATTAAAGGTCCTCGAGCTTGGCAAGGGCTGGTTAGATATATATGACCCTGATGATCCTTCCCGGGTTAAACCCTCGGGTTCCAGTGTTTACTCACCAGCTATCTACTATTGCTGCTTGTTAAATTTAGCTACGGCCTGCAAATTACTAGTCAATAGAAAGGAGGATAAAGTAAATGTGAATGCGCAGGGTGGCCATCATGGAAACCCACTACAAGCAGCTGTATATCAGGGAAACGACTCGGTTGTACGGCTTCTCCTCGAGCATGGGGCAGATGTGAATGCTCAGGGTGGTGGTCATGGAAATGCACTATACACAGCGGCAATTCAGGAGAACGAGTCGCTCGTGCGGCTTCTCCTCGATCGTGGGGCAGATGTGGATGCGCAGGGTGGCGGTTATGGCAATGCACT